GTTGGAAAGTCCATAAACATGCAATAATATTAAAGGTTTTGACCAAAAAGAAACCAGTGGGCCATTTACCAGGGAGAAAAGGGATCTGGGGACTAGGCAGGTACTCACAGGTTTAGTGCTACCTGGCTGCTTCTGTGACAACTCAGACCACTGAGTGTCACAGAGATGTACAATTTCTGACTGTAGCTTCTAATCTAGTTGACAGAGTCAATATGTTGGCACTGTCTGAAGTTACCAAAGCCTTTTTAGAGCATCATGATTTTTTCCCTGGTGGTTGGTCACCCACAACAAGAGTCACTGTTTGACAAATGGCATATCTAATTATCTGTCATTGATGTCAAAAACCAAAATGGAAATGCTTAGAGGTGATTTTCAATATGAGCTCTGCTAATCACTCTGATTCATTGACAGCCCATGTCTAAATTACTTTAAATATAGACCTTCCCTGACATGCTATATGTTTATAAGTTTGAAGATGGAAAGGGAAAAAGAATTTACTTGGTCTATTTATAAGAACACGTTTAATGATAAACAATAGCTCTCACCTCCATACGTAAATTTTTAGCCTTGAGGTTCCTGCTTTGTTTCCCTTGATCCCCGCTATGTTACATGTAGTACCTAAACTTTCCAAGTAAAGGAATGCTATCTCTTCTACAGACCCAAAATGATGTCTTAGGATCATTTGTGTCTAGGTGTAGACTGTGAGCTATAGGGTGAGAAATAGACTTGGCAAGCAGGAACTGTTATTGTGGCATTCCAAGGAGTAACTAACAACTGCTAATACCACCAGCAAGGGGGTTGGCTCCCCTTCCTCTACTATAGTACTTAGCTATCTTTGTTTCCAGTTCAGTTTCAAAATGAGAAAGAACTGAATCCTCTAATCTGGCTCCACAGTCTATCCTATGACTAATTAAGTTTTTCATATCAAAGAATGCAGCTGTGAAACCAATCTTTAATATAAGTAGGGTAGCTTAATGCTCAGGTCAGACATCCTTGAAGAGAAAATAAAAGAAAACAACAACAAACCATCCACCTGTGACAATGTTCCTAGGTGTATGAGTTGAGTGGGGATGCATTACGAGAATCAGCTGGAACTTAAATATCTATACAGCTCACATCAACTTAGGGCCCCATGCTGGCTTATTTTTATGTCAACTTGCTATAAGCTAAGGTCATCAGAGAAAAAGGAATCTTAGTCAAGAAAATGCCCCAAGCACACATGTTGGGCCTGTGGCATGCCTCTGGTATACTTGACTGATGAGAGAGGGCGGAGCTCTCGGTGGGCAGTGCCACCACTGCGCTGAAGGTCCTGGGTGCTCTAAGAAGGCAGGCTGATGAAGCCACAGGAAGCAAGTCAGTAAGCAGCACCCCTCCGTGGCTTCTGCCTCTAGGTTCCGGCCCTCTTTGAGTTCCTGCCTCAACGTCCCTGAATAATGAATTACAAGTTTTAAGATGAAATAAATCCTTTTCTCCCGAAACTGGTTTTGTTCATGGTGTTCATAAGGGTCACAGAAACTCTAACACAGGCACCCTTCCCACACCTACACTTATATGTGAACCTGTATGGTTTTTGACACGCAGCCAGGAAGAGACATTGAAGCATGGCAGATACTCTCCTCATTTCTCAGTATGCTGGAGATGAGAAATATTGACTCGCTACTGCTATCATCATTGAATACAGTTTACTTGGGTACAGTTTCAATCTCACTGCTTTCATATCAAATAAACTATTAATGAGCATATAGAAATAACTATAACAGAAATGAATAAGGGTCTATGACTATACTATCCTGAATGCACCTGATTGCATCAGAAGTGAGTACAGCAGGGATCTGAAGATTTCCAAACAGATGTATAATGCAGAGAGAAAAATTAAAAATGGACATATTTTCACCAAGTCATTGCTGCAGGGTAGTTTTATTTTAATTACTTTATGAGGTCAATTATATGAGAAATAGAATTCTTAGATATAGTTGTGAAAAGTTCTTAACATTCTCCTAAAAATGTTAGTCTTGGACAGTAAGAAAAACCAATATAATGCCTAATAAATGTGCTCTTGATTTGTACATAGCTGTAATTTAAATACCTGGTTTCACCCTAGACACTGAGCTACATCATACCACATGGTTTACGTGTGCTTTTAAATATAAGGGCATGGTTTATTTTGGAATCAGTCACCTTTCCTGCACTGCACAAGACTCCTAGCCTCAGTAAGAAAGCCAGTGATACATCAGTGATAGATGTAGAGAGATAAAAAGGCCTCCTGTTAGAAAGCAGCAAATTCAATGTTGGTAAATATATAAGATGCTACAAGAACCTTAAAATGTCCTGTGGAATGGTTCCACTTAGAAGTAAACAGTCAAGATCAAGCATGTGCCTTGGATTACATGTCTATACATAAGAGATAATTATCTTTAAAATTGAAATAAAAATATTTTTCTGCATTTAAGAAATATTTTCTGCATTACCTGTGTGTGCACATAACATTTTTAAGAAATTGTGGCTGAAACATTGTAGTTAGATCCTCAGTCAAAAGGCTAAAGCAGAACTCCGACTGCACTGTATACACTTAAGATTAAAGTTCTCTCTTCCCACTCAGGCAGTCTCTTTCAAAAGAATCATATCGAGGAAGTGAACAGAAAGTGGCATTAGTATTTGTGAGGCTCACTGTAGGCTATGCAAGTAGCCTAATTCTACAGGGAGTCATCAACATCTTCCTAATCACCAATTATGTATCAGATGGTTAAATTCAGTTCACCCTTGACCATGACAAGGTCAGCCCTAAGAACTGTTGTCTAATCTCCTGGAACCCATAACAAAACTTTGCTTAAAAAAAATACAGGTAGATCAGGGTATTTGTTTTCTACCCTTTAAAATTAGATTAAACTCTGCTCTAATTTAAATCAGAAGTACCAATTCTCCTGTCTCTCTTCCTACCAAAGCAAAAAAAATCTAATTCTTTCTTTTCTAAAATTGCACATGCCAGGGTGATAGTTCTAGTTGGAGCTATTATACATCAGTCACCTTGTCATGCCCCAGCAACTTGAAAAAGGGGAACCCCAGGCAGACCAATCTGCTACACTGTTGAAAAGGAGGCAGGTCATAAGAAACTGGGAATATAGAGTGTGAGTAGGTAGAGAGTAAGAGTGCAACAAATAGCCAAAAATTAGCTAAAGCAGGTTTACATTCACTCTAGCAAAACCCAACCCACAATGTCAGGAAGGACCTTGGATTAATACCACACTATCTCTAAGGGCTTAGGAGACCTAGCTCATTCAGATTTTGCTAAGCTATGTAACCAGCATACTATAGGAATCATTTCTTCATTCAAATCCTCAAATGTGAAATGAAGAATGATGACAATTTTCTTTTCCAGGACAAAGGAACAATATATGGGCAACAGCTGACATTTTGGAAGCCACAGTGCACGAGTTAATTAGAATTATTCTTATGATCGTAATCCACTTTGTTAATAAAGAGTTTCAATAAACAAGGTCCAGAGAAATGATATACAATAGAAACTGGTTCCTTTTAATTTACTAGAGCAGTCACCTTGCTTACTGAAGAGCTTTCAAAAATATCAAAGGTGTATCCTGAACAGATTGGATGGTAATGGCTTTAGAAGCTGTTGCTCCAGAAGAGAGGAAACACTGAAAAATGTTGGGTGAGAATTCAGAGGAGAGGAAGTAGAGAACCCTCCACTCTACAGATATGATACAACGCAACTTGCAAAATCTACTTGCTTTGTTCCCTTACAGAGAGTGCTTTGACTAGGCAGATGGAAGATGGAGAATTACAGGGAGTGGTAAGTAGGCAATGATATTAACAGAAACCTGCATGACTGGTCTTGGATGCTTCTATCACTTCTATGATGGTGACTGTTCCTGTGTACAGATCTCAAAATGAGGCACGTGTGGCACGTGAGTCTAGCTCAGATGGATCTGTAGGCTTCAATAAAGTCACTTCCAATGGCTTGCAAATCAGCAGTGACAAATAAAAGCCTTTTGTCTTTCCTATACCACCAAAACTTCAAGAGTTGTTTGATACTTGGCAACCGATGATGGATGGAACATTTTTAACAACAAACATTTTGATGAATGAAGACGCCTAAGCTACATACTGTACACTGTAAAACTATTTTACTAAAATGGCCTCACTAGAAACTAGACAACCAAATGAAACAGCCTGACCATCAATGAACCATTAATAAAAGCAGTTCGGATCTATTTATCATATAAGGCATCTGCGATATAAGGGTCTAAGAGACATTTACTGTAATTATTACTGTTGGAAGGTTTAAGTGCACTCTTCTAAGTGAAAGATGAGTATTTTCTAAGAACTCAGACTGTGAGGACAAACTGTTTTGAGATGCTTTTCAACCAAGTCTAAATAAATCCACTCTGCCAAGTACAAGTCTCTAACAGGCAGCTGTGAGCAAGATGAGTTTTAATCAAATTCAGATGAAATTACCTTTTCAAGTTCTCAAAGAGAACTAGAATATATCAGTAAGTCCTACCATGCAAGTGTTTATGCTTCTGTTCCAACAATGAAAAATGCCAGAGAAACAGGTACATAGAAAACCTGTTTGTTTGTTTGTTTGGTTTTTTTTTTTTTGACCTGGAAACTGCCTACAACTGAGCTGTTACCATGGCTGCATACAGTATATAGTCTCATACCTGCTCTAATGCAGGAGGGGGTATCAGAGGGTGGGAACGCCTGAAAAAGGAAGCCATGGTAGACAAGGGAGCAAGTGTACAGGCTTCTAGAATATTAAAAAATCTTGGTTCCTATTGTATAGGGCATATCAATCAAACTCTCACACCCATGAAACATATTTTATTTCAATGTACAAAGTGTGCCTAGGTGAGAGATGTGACAAGCACGATCACAAGTAAGACTCTAGAGGTGAGTCCATTATGTGGTGAGAGCTGAACAGAACAGCATTACCATTTCAAGTTCTTTGAAACATACAGCAACTCAAAATATGAAGACAAGTATCATGATTTTACATAATGCTGACATTTATTTTATGTTCCATATAGCAAAACAACTCTAAAGACCACTATATGTAGCATGGTAGAAAAATGGAAATCTGAGGCAGACAGTCTCTGTTAAAATGATGATCGCCTTTGTATTGCTGCTTATTCCTGACCATCACATTCCTCTATGGGCACCTTCAAATTTGATTGTTTTTCAATCCAAGATATATGTCAAAAGAGGAATAGGACTATTTAAGAAAAAGTAATACAAATCATATTAGGTAAAAAATAAGAATTAGGAGAAACGGTATTGATGAGTTATGAGACAGATATAATGGTACATTTCAAGTCCCATTGTGTCCCATCACTGCCCCCCCCAAGGCAGATGGTAGTAATTTTCACAGTGTTCACTATATAGTTAAAAGCCTTTGGGTGTAAGGCAAGGTAAGTGTCTATCAGGGACAAGTGTTTTGGAAGTGACAAAAACACACTCTACTCCCAAATAAGAGAAATCTTGGCTGGAAAACAAAATGCCTGTCATTGGTCCATAGAAAACAAGGTTGATAGGCCACAACACATTCTCCAGTTCTGTGTTTTCTTGTTCACTTCCCCAGAATCTGCACAGAGCAAAACAGATGGAAATGCATAAACTCTTGAGTAGCCCATTACTCTCAGTTGGCAATTAGGATGAAAAGCAGTTGGTAGGTTTCTGTATAGGTTAGCTTTTGACTCATCCCTATTACCAGTTCGTAGCAGAAATGGAGGGCCCATATTTACATTTTACATTAGCCAAAAATACAACCAGAACAGAAGGGCCCTTCCAGGCCAAAGCTAAAGTGAGTGGTTTAATAAAGTCAGGGACTCACTCAACCGCCCAGAGTGCTGAGCCTGGGCCCAGTTGAGAGAAGAAGGTGAGCAAATGGAGAAAAGAGGCCCCTCCTATGCACCAGCTTCTGACACTGTCGAATTTAGTGGACATGCAAGCAAGAGAAAGAACAATGGTCAAGTAACTGGATGATATCAATTAACTCAAAACACGTTTTCTGATTGCTCATTTGATTGCCACACAGAAGTAAATGAAGAACATAGCATGCGTGGATAGTTACAAGTTTACCTCAGTCCAGCAAAATATCTGTCTTAGAGGACTTGAGTGATGGCTAGTCAAGAGGCAAGAGGAATGAAAGACACAGCAGAGTGCTGAATGTCATCTAAGGCAACCAGATATTTGACACATTACAAGTCAAAATCCTTCTAGCATAAAAACACGAAAGTTCAGAAAGAAGGAGAATATGGTAAAAGTTGTGAGTGGGGGATGGACAGAGGAAGTTAGATAAAGCAGTTATGTGCTCTGCCTCACAGATATGCTACTCATGGCCAGCATGGAAAGTGCCAAGGAAGGTCACCACCAGACTGGGCACCTTCCCAGTCCGCACAAATTAGTCCACTAGATGCCAGCAGGCACCACCAGATTCTAAACCATCATACCATGAACTGGCACTAAGTCAAGCAGTCAGAATGCTTTAATCACTTCGTCAATAATTGAGTAGATCCAAATTTACAGTCCGAGTTTCAAGACAATGAAGCAGGTGGCAATAAGTATATTGTTCCAGTTCTGTTATAAGCTATTTTCATTTTGCTTTATTCAATGTATTTGCACTTCCAATTTTAGAGTCCTGCTTCATCCCCATTTGATTAAGTACACTGAAATATTCATATTTCCTTGACTGTTTCCATAATGTTCACTTTATTGAAGGTCCAAAATAAAATGCCCTGTATCTTTAAAAGTATGGCCCCGGCCCACTAGAGTCTTCTCAAGTATGAGGTCAGCCAAAGAGCCTCATCCTGAGAATTGAAAGTCAGTTTCCAAACATCAAGTTCCTGATTCTGCCCATCCTGAAGACACAATGGAGTGAGCATCTGGGTGTTTGAGGCAACTTCACACTGCTTGGATAGACCACTTCCTGTGTTCAAGGGAAGCCCATGTTTCCTTAGGAAGACCAGCTCTACCGTTGACACTTTGTCCTTCTCTGGAACAATGACACACCTGAATTCACTCAGAGCTTGACAACTGATCACATCAAATCGCCCATGTGGAGGAAGTGTGCTTAGACAGGGAATGTGGGGGTAAAACACACGGTCCTCCCTCAAGAGTGCCATGTGGGTGCTCAGAAGAATGAATGATGGGCAGGGGCCACCACTGCCTTCACTCTCCAGTCTGACTGTGGTATAGAGCAGTATCCGAACTTCAGCCAGAGAAGGAACACTGGTCTCCATATTTCCATGAAGAAAGTAAACCATATCTACCAAGGTTGCCTGGAAATTGGATGTCAACTGAACTCCGTTTGCCAAAGCTAGAGGAGGGATTTCTGCTTCCGAGTCAAGAGAAAGCTGAACGAGATCCTGCTGGAGCAAAGGGTGACTTGTGTAGGAGGCAGCTTCAGACTCAGTCATCAGCACACCCAGGAGGTCCTTGCAGAGCTGTTGAGAGAGGCTCTTGTTGTAAGTGAGTACCGTAAGCAAGGGGTCATGTGTGGAGGCCAGAAATCGAATGCTCTGCCCACCAAAGCCCACCTGAATCTCCTGCAATGCAGAGAGAGGGAGGACATGAAAGATGCTCATGGAGTCTGGGCAATTATCTAACAGTACCAGGGCATACAGAGTGGAAGGCAGCAGTATCAAGCATGCAGCTTGGGGGTCAGGCTGGGTGCAGTTAGCAACTGCGAGCCAGTAAATGCCTTTGACTGCCTTCACCAAGCCCAAAGGCTCTGACAAAGAACAGGTCATGTATTCAAGGAGGTCTGTGAGAGGGTACTCTTGAAGTCTCAGCATTTGCTCTGGGAATGATATAAGGGTCTGCTTAAATGCAGTGATCTTCCTAGCATCTTCATAATCAAGACAGAAAACTGAATTTGGCCAGGAATCTGGTAAGCCTGCAGATGTGAAGGCCAAGTCTATGTAAGGTGCTGTGCTCTTGTCTGACCTCGGGCTTCCTCCATTTTCACTGCTGAGGGTACCAATCTGAGTTTCAGGAAGAGGAGGAACTAATGGCATCATGAGTGACCTCACAGGCAGCCGTAGAGGTAAGTGCTCCAATAAGGGCAGGCCTCTTAAGAAGGTTGTCACTTGGGAGGCCAGCCCACCTGAGTCACACATACTCCCCACATGCTTGGCTTGGCTCATTACTTTTGTCCCAGCCTGTATCAGGTGGCCACCGGTATCTTTATACAGGTCTGAGAACTTGTGGTAAAAATATCCCAGTCCCTTCTTTGCTTCTGCCCTGATACTGACTAGTGGAGATAGGAAGCGAGTGTTTTCAGAATCTAACTCTTTCTCATTCTGTTGCTCACAACACAATGTGGAAGCTGATGTGGTCTGAGGAGAGCTGCCAGTGGGAGGCTCCTTTTGAGAATTGCTTTCAGAGAGAACAAAACACTGCACCCTGCTTTGCATCGCTTGCTGGCTTCCTCTGTTTACTGGAGCTTGCTGGGACATGTGTTGCAGCCATGTCCAGCTGGACTCGATCCCCCAGCTTTGTTTCTCTTCAGGAGTCATCAGCCCACTGCCATTTTCTGACCCACTCTGAGATTTCTGTGCCTCTCTAGTGCTGCTTCCATTAAGGAAAGTGGTTTCAGGCAGATGAACACATTTTGGTTCAAGGTGGTCAGAGCTCCCAAGGTAACAAAGTTCATCACCAGTGTTCTTCATCATGGAGAAAGTTGTGGGGAGTGAGGTATTCTCTGACACTGAATGGCTCCAGTGGCTGCTCGGATCCATCTCACCTCCTTCTTCTTTAAGGATGCTGGGAGAGTCAGTGTCATCTTTGGGCAGAAGTGGGACAACACACCATGCAGACCAAGGCTGCCTTTTCTGTTTAGGATGTCAAAAGAGGTTGAAATGGGGGTGTGCTTTGACTCCCTGGGATTACTTTGCATATGGAGAGTCTCACATCCATTGGTTTCATTGGAGTGGATTAATTAAGAGGTGAGATAGAAAGCCTAAGTCATTTGTGTTGATTGATATGTGATTTAAGAACAGATGATTGATTCATATATAGGACATCAATTTCCATCTCACACAGTTTAACAAATCACTAGGTATTTTGATAGAAGCACACCGTGTAGGATTATTCCACAGTATCCATTTCTTGGTCTATGATTGCATTTTCTCTCAAGTACATTCCCAAACTTTTGATTCATTGTTTAAAAGGTTGTTATCTGTATGACCAAATGTGCAAACATGCCCATCTTTTTTTGTTTGTTTCTTTGTTTGTTTTTGGTACATTTAATGTGAGTCTTTATCATGTTCGCCCTAATTAGAATACCATTGCTGATACTTACAAACCTTCACTAAGGAAGGCTTGCAGCATGCCTATAATTTGTCAGGTGCCATGGAAACAATGAAATAAAAGGCTGCTTCTTGCTCTGCCAGAGGTACCACTAGAAGGATGTCCATAAGCTAATGTCAATACTGGCTGACTAGCAGGGGGAGTAGGTGTGGTCCAAGTGATTCAAGAAACCATGAACATCCACCACTTTGCTCCCTGCTCAGTAAGTAGATATGGTGGGCAGATTTCTATCACCTAGCTCTATGAGAATTACATTATCCTTAGTGGAAGAAAACACAAGTAAATTCTTACCAATTGTATGCTCTAATAGCATCTGTCCACCAGAGAGACAAGACAAGTTGATTGATCAAAGGTTTTCTTTGTATCACTGCCAACTATATATCTATAAAATGAACAGGTTTTTAAAACATTGAGAAGTTCTGTTTCATTCCCCCACTCCCCTTTCTGATCCTAATTATATAACTTCCTAACTTCCTTTTAAATGCAGACCAAGGGAAAGGATACTGCTGCTAATGAGAATCCGGGCACAGATACAGGGCATTCAAATAAAGCCAAAGAAGTCTCTGGCCTGCAGGATTCCCTTTAATTTTGTGTCTATATAATAGTTTGCCTTCTCTATTAGCCATTAATCTCACTGGAACTTCAAAATTCTAATTATGCAACTAAACATTAAGAAAATTTAATCACACAAGCATGCCATAATTTAAGCAACCCTATTAATCTGAAAAATCACTACCTACCTCATATTTTAGCTTACGTTGAGTGACACCATTGTGAAGTTCCTCGTTACTCTGAGAAGAAGAGAAAAGCCTTCTGTATTAAATTATAGCATGCTCATAGAGGGGAGAAAAGCTGATTCCATTACAAGTATTTATGGGAACAAAATTCTAAAGAAATATACCTGTCATTCAAAAAGGACAACCTTTCCACCAGCTTTGCATTCACAAAGTAAACAAGTCTCTTCCTGATTTATTTGCAGGTGAGAGAACTGAACCACTAATTTCTAATGCTAAATTTAAATAGCAAAATTACAATCGAGATTTCCTTAGCCTCCAAGTTGAGGACTTCAATATGATAGTGCCTCAAAACAAAAACAAAAAAACAAAAAACAAAAAAACTACACATACAGTCCTACACGACTCAGGTGTAGTGCTTCTGAGAGAACATCCAAAGTACTCCGAGTCTTTATGAACCAGAGAAACCTACAAGGCAATGTTTATGCAGCAGTTTTCACAATAAACAAGTTAGGAAACCAGAGAGGTGACCATCACTGTATGAATGGATAAAGAAAATGTGTGTGTATGTGTGTATGTGTATATATATGTATGTTTATATATATATATGCATAAACATATATGAATATGCACAATGGAGTTTTATTTGGCCATAAAGAAAAGCAAAACTGTCAGTTACAGGGAAATGGAGGAAATGAATTATCAAATTATACAAAACAATCCAGATTCCAAAAGAGATATCAAGTCTTTTTTCTTGAATGTGCATTAGAAAAAAACAAACAAACAAAGACTAATCCCTATCAGGGCACGAAAATAGAAGAAATGCAAAACTAAGGATGTGGATGAAGATCAAGGCGGGGCGGGATGAAAGAGGGTAATGGTGTAATACGTAAAATTATCTTGTCTGTATAAACAAAAGTATCATAAAAACATTACTTTGTAAAATTTATATCTGCTAATACAAAAGACATAAACTGTCATTTGATGAACATCAACTTAAAAAGTAGGCATCTCAAGTAGATAAGTATATGTCTACTTGGAATAACTTACAAAGTAAATAATTGGCTTTATTTGGTGAGAAAACAGAAAACATTACATGTAGACTTTTCAGAAATCAAAGCAAATAAAGAATGTTAAGAACCTTAACATGTGTATTTAATGAATGTTTCCTAAGAATTACAAAACTGTAAAATAAGCTACTCTTAAATTAATTCTATCTGAAATCTAATCAGTTCTATCCAGTTGACATTTAGTGCTATTTCTGGAACATTCCACATCTGACTTTTCATTAAGCAGCAGTAATGACTGGATAACCTGGCTCTTTTAGCTCACCTTCATCACGTCAGCAGGTGTGTGGCCAGAATCACTAACTGTTCTGTGCAAATCATGAAGGCGTCTTTGGACTTCTTCCTCAATGTAAGCACTGATCCTGACAAAAATGGAAATTGAACAGCTGTGAATATATCTAACTGCTACACATGGTCACTATGCACATCTTCAATATGCCCCATACAACAGGGTCTCTTCATGCCTAAGGCCATGTATGTATATATATGGTGGAAATAGAGATCATCATGTTAAGTCAAATAGTCCAGACTCTGAAAGAGGGACATCTTAACTTTTCTCTCATGCGTGCTATTTAGAAAAACTGAAAACAAAAAGAAAGCCTTATCATGACTTGAAAATCCTGATACTTGTTTTATTTATTCTATATAAATACTTCCAAACTATTTTCCTCTTTTTGAGAAGTCTGGTACTATGCATTCACTCTCTGTGCTTCCCCACTTGAGACAGTATTGTAGACATAAATAATTAAGATGAAACTGAAACTGAATGGAGAGTAGGCTGTTCTAGTGAAACCCCCCCCCTGGATCTTATCTGCAACAGAACATTGCAGAGTAAAGGTATAAATCACAGTCATGGATGTCAGAGGCTCTGCACTCAAAGATTCCACTGTCAGACAAACTACTGGGTTTCCTCATTTGGAAAAGGAAGACACAATGATACTTATTTCTTACACACATGGCCATTTGTGATGATTAACAAAAATTGAGGTCATGGAAGGCCTACTTTATGAATATTGACTATTCATCTAGAACAGTGCCTTGCATTCTCCTAGCCTATCTTGTAACTCCAACTAGGTTATTTACATGTGGCCATTGAGGCCACATTTGGGCTTATGGAGCTCCTGCCTAGAGCCAAGACCACGTAACAAAAACACCAATATCAGACATGAAGAGCCCTCATCTGAGTTATTATCCAGGGTTGTGCAAGAGACACCCAAAACATACAGCCTATTGCTGTTGTACTTGGTTGCCCTACCTCCTCCGAGATGGAAAGAAAGTCCCTATTGATGAAGACACTATGTACTTCTGTAACAGATACCAAAGACCTGTGAGCTGGAACTGACCTGAAAGCCCCCTCCTGAAGACTAGCTTTCATGGCATTAGAAGGCACCACACAAACTTCCAAAGGAGGGAGGTAACCAATATATCCAGCTATGATGTCAATGAAACACTATGGTAAACCAGCACTGCAATATAACTCTAAGGGTGCAGTAGTGGCACACATACCCTGGCGTAACCAACAGCTCTCTAATTAGACTTAGGACTCATTCAAGAAGAGGGAAATCATGCCTGGAACTGGACACATAGCTAACTACCTAGTGGTAGTGAAGTCATAATTATTGGAGGAAAATCTACAACCACTAATTTACTAAACTATAATAATCCCTAACTACATTCTAAATATTTTTCTTCATACCACAGATAAGTGTAGTCTTCACCTCATCAAGGAAACTTCTCTTTGCAACTGCTACTACACAGACTACTACAGAAAACTATAACCAATCAACCTCAGAGTTGTGGAGCTCCGTCCTAATAGATACATCTGTAAAAACACTCCTGCAGCTAAGCCTCAGAGAACATTTTGGAAAATGTGGATAAAAAGATTGCATGAACCAGGAGACCAGGGAGCTTGGTGTGAGATTATGTCTCCTGATAACATCAGAACCTACACCCACTCAATCTCACCAACATGACTGCCCAACCATGAGCTGAGCAAGGATGACACCAATAGGCATGCCAAAGTGGATGGGGAAAAGTCCATAAGACTTCAACCCTACAAAGAACTATAGGCAACTGAGGAAAGCTGGGAGAAGGAGAAAACGGCACACCAATTTGTTGTTCAGTGCCAAGTGGCCAGCCCTCAAAACATACATACAAGAAACATTATACAGACTGAATAGGTTATATTTAGGAATATATATTATATACAAAGCATGGCATCTGTTGAGTGTTGAGTACCTGGCATCCATCAGTGGAGCAAGGTGAGAGTTTTCAGGCCTGGGCGGCAAGCTGGAAAGAGCAGCCTTCCCCTCTAAGGTCCCAGGATGAGGTCTCTGAACACCATCCACCTCACAGATCTTCTGTTTCAGCTGGTGGATTTCATGTTCTAACCTAAGAAGATATGAATCACAAAACTCCATTAACTAATAGCATTACACGAACACATTTTCTGCAGAGAACTGTTCTAAAAACCCCAGGGGAGCCAGAAAGAACTCTAGTGCAAGTTTTCTCTTCTAGCAGAAAAGGCGTCACATATGGAAAAAAGAACAAAGTGAAAATGATCCATAAGAAGGTTATACAAAAAGAGTACAGGCATCTGAGATTTAGACTACCTGGCCACTAAGGACAAAAGCACTTCTGCTGTGTTGTAAGCAAGTTCTTAGAGGTGCTGCCTGGGACGCTGGATCCCTTAAACCTTGACTCAACAGGAGCTGGTTGTGAACTACATATCAAAATCCTGTTAAGTACTTCTTCTTGGTGAGATCTACACAAAGTAGTTCTGGGCTGAGTCTTAAAGGTCATTGGAATTATGGGCATTTGAAGATGACAGTGGAAGATGCTCCAAGGTCAGAAACCAATCAGAGCAAGGAGATTGTGCCACAAAACCCAGGAAAGCACTTTGGCCAAGGTAGAAGGAATGGGAAGGGGAGCCAAGGGAGACACATCTAGGAAATAAGGTTGAGTTACATGAGAAATTAAGATGAGCCACAAATTGTGAAAGCACAAAGCATTACTGCAGATGACAACTGGTACATTTTGTAAACTCTGAACTGTATAAGAAGCTGAGCCAGGTGAGCTTGAATCCTGAATGATCAGACTGAAGGGTCAGGCTTGCTGGCAGATTTAGCCCCAGGAACAAAAGACCCAGCAGCTGAAGACCACAGCCCACTCAGTGAGTGAATACAGACAGGTACTGGATGTGGATTTCTACTTCTCCAGGGATCAAATGAGCTCAACTAATCTCTTTCATTTTCTCAATCTCCAAAAATCAGAAATCTTATTGTCAAATGCTGACATATTTTGATGCTGCCTTTACTGTTTCATCCTGAACATGAAGGCCATGTTCTTAATTCCCAGAGATGTGACTCTGGGGTCAGGAGGGGAAACACTCAAGGCATCCATAGGAGGAAGCTTTCAGTTCAACTCAGGTCTTAGTTATCTACTGATGAGGAAAGTTTCCTGAGTATCTATTTGCAGACCATCCGATATTTCAGAAGAGGAGAGAGAAGTAGAATTAAGGAGAGATATATTGGGCATGGTGGTCTATACCTGTAAATCTGGGAGGTGCAAGTAGTTCGGGGTTCCTGGTTGTCCTCTGCTAGACAGTAAGTTCGAGGCCAGTAAAGCTTACATGAGACACTCTCTCAAAAACATGACCACCAGTAACAAATAAAAATGGTGTGAGGGACCACACGGATGGCAAAGAATCAAGGACTGCTTTCAACAACAACGGCAAGCAGGATGTAAGCAGAAGACAGCAATATTCATCATCTTCTGATGCCTGCTGGGGTTTCACACATGGGCTCTCCCAGGCTAAGATGTTAGAAAATTTGTACTGAGGTGGCTTAGTATGGAGGATTGAGTGGGACCCTAACGACACAGTAAGATTTATATAGATAGCAGGGGTCAAACAGGACAGAACCAGAACGTGAAATGCATGCTATGTGGAGTACTGGTCTGTGTGTACATCAGCCATATTACAAGCCTACTAACAGGTGGGCAAGACATAGACCTAAATGAAGCTCTAATTTGCCACTTTCTGTGTGTCACTAGTTCTCCTAGTAATATAACCAATATAGGTTCAAATCTCCTACCTTCTGCCTGGGGGTTTTGTCTCTTCTTCATAGGAAGATTCAAGGACAACACACAAATGACATTTTAAAAACATTTTGAGTTACATGGGGTTATTCCTCATGGAGGGCCTTGTGACTATAATCATCATTTTTGAGGACTCTAATAATAGAACTGATCAAACGTTCAGTATTAGCAGTTTTCATCTTACCTTTCCTATGGTTGACATGAGGGCTTCCTAATGGGGCAGCCTGATGCTTGTCACTGGGGAATGAGCAGCAATGGAAAGGAAAGCAGTGTCATGGCTTAACCGGTTCCCAAGGCACCAAGGAACTAATGGGAAAACATGTTCAGTGCAGCGCTGTCCCATCTGGTGCCATGTGGTTCAATATTTCAGCTAGTGAATTTCACAAGGGGCCAAGCAGGCTGCACAGCCAGTACTGGCTTAACTGTGAGAAGCCAGAAAGAAAACGACACAAGCAGAAATGCCCGTAGAAAGCTGCTGAAGCACTGAAGGCAAAGCAGCGCGCCCAGACTTCATCAGCCTGAATTAGATATTAGTGAAGGCTATTTCATCAGAGCTCGGGAAGCTAAGTGCCTCCTTGTGAGCTTTCTGGAGGACTGCTGACACCGAGGAATCACTTCCACGGAAATTTCAAAACCATGCCTGCTATTACAGAGTATTAATAGTGAATGGCTGGTTGACAAAAGTCAGGGACATCAAGCTAAAAGCTCAGGCTGCTTCTTACTGCACACTGCAGGATACAAATTGAGAGCATGCCCTCCACGACTTTAAATTTCCTGGGGCTAGAGCTTTGTCCAGCAATTTCATTTACATAACATACCTGCAATCATTTTCTTAAACCTCCAACCTACTTCTCTGAAATAATAGCATTATAGTTTTGATTGTTATTTTGTTTCCATTTTGCCTAAAGGAATTACCAGAGACTGTAAATGGAATCCATAGGATAAGCAGCTCATTTAAAAGGAAGCTGTCTTAACCTTCTCAGGAATGATGGGTAACAGATACAGTTAACACTTCTGACAAGGTCTTGCCTTGTCTCCGCATCTGTACCTATGCCTCTGTCAAATGCTTACTAAGGTCTTAAGGATAATAGGCAGAGTACTGCTGATTATGGGTAGGATAAAACAGAGTTCCATGATCTCACACATGGGCTTCAGTTAAGAATTATGACCAGAGGAGGGGCATGGGAGTACATGCCTTTAACCCCAGCACTCCAGAGTCAGAGGCAGGCAGATCTTCAAGAGCTGGAGGGCATGAATAGCAAATTAGCAAGTTCAGCCAGACATACACAGTAAAAGACAGTCTTAAAAAACAAACAACTTATAAACAGGAGTTCAACACCTATGTTGAAGATCCTCCAGACTTATTAACCAAATAGACTAATTAGCAATTAGCAGTTATAAACAGATAGAGTTAAACTTATTTTGGGCAGTTTTTATTTCCGTTAACAGTCATTTACCAGTTATGTGTATATCTGAGCCAACAATCTCTTGATACTTAAGATAAATCCCTTGGAATGTGTCCCTAAACTTTACATGCCTAGCCTCCACCAATCCAATAGCTAAAATAATGTCATCAGACAGCATCTAAAACCCACAGCTGATATTTCTTTCCCAGTCTGTGCAATCAACTGATGTCTTCATCAATGCATTTGGTAAACACATGATTTATGACTTTGATTTGTTCTAGGAAAGTTCATGTGACAACTTCTGGAGTGAACCATGTCACTCAGGACAAGTAAAATCTGTGTTCCCTAGCTGTAGCCACTCAGAACTGGATCTGTAAATTATCTCTTAATCCCTCTGGAGCAAGAGCTTTGCTTTGTGTTGATAACTGATCAGTGTGGGGCTAAAAGAAAAAAGACCTAAGTAGTCAAGGCCATCCAAGCAGTAAGAGACAAATCAGGGGATGGCTCCACTTTGCAAACTGATTATGTTCACACACCGGAGACCTTTGACCTCTCTGGGAGTCTTAGCATGACTGCAGATGAAAAGATGCTCCTGGTTTCCTATATTTACTTATTTCAGAGTCTACCCCCTGGTAATCATGGCAATAGAATAGAAAGATAAATATTCCTTCTTCACCATGTCAAGAGTGATTGTTTCCCAGTTTTCTTTCTAAAATGCTGACTTTAAGAGTGGGGCATCTACCTGGTTTTAGTTCTCCTCTATTTGTGGGGACCAGCTCAGGATCACATGCATGAACTCTGGGGACAGGACTTCACTGTGGCCAGTGCTGCTCACAGAGAAGATACGAAATCCTGGTGAAGAACAGGCATGGGAGAGGGGGAGAAGTGGGGTGGTGAGAAGGCAAGGAAAGGGATGAGAAGGGAACAGGGAGGGGGTACGAATGGGGCAGGGATGAGAGAGAGATAAAGTGTGGGGATCTAGGGTCAAGCTCGCCCAGTACCTGTACTTGTCAAACTATTCAAACACACACCCCACAGGTCACTTTAGTGAAGGACCAGGACTTTGTATTTTGCCTGTGTTCTCTTTTCAACTTTAAGTCAATGATTCTAAAACAAGGATCTTATGGAAAAACCAACAAAAAATGTTTAGGGGTGCTTTTATTAGATTTGAGTTTTTGTTTTGGTTTGTTTTAAAGCCTTTTGCCTATGTACTAGAGAGCATAAAGCCTACAAGAATAACTTCTCTAGACAGTGAGAAGTCACAAGAGACAGAAAATAAGCAATCACCTGGTGCCTACCCAATGCTTCACGCCCTCTGCCTTAGTCTTACCTCACAGGGTTTTTCTCAAGGGCCTCTTGTTTGACATCCAGGCTGGCCCACAGTCCTGACTGCTCCATGTTGTGGAGAGAGCCAAGCTTTGGCCTCTGCTCCTGGGTCTCCAAGTCCAGGGTAGAACGCCTGTGCAGGGCAGAGTGCCTCTGCTCTAGCTTGGCCACAGCCTGCTCCAGGGCTTCTCTCTGCTGCTTCTCCTGGGACTCCAGAATCTCCTTCTCCTTTTTGCTCACCTTCTCCTCCTGTCTGGCAACATTAGCTGTGAACTCAAAGGTGGCCTGGAGCTGCTGCAGCTGGCTAACATTAGCCTGGTACTGTGTGATCAGGTCTTCCTTTTCTTCCATTTCTTTCTGTACTTGGTAGAGAGTGTTGTCTAGGCCCAAGGTGCCCCTGTCAAGGATGTCAAGAGCTCTCTGCTTTTCTTGCAGCAGAGCTGGCAAATGATTTTGCAGAAGGTCCTGTAGTTGGCGCTCTTTGCTCTGTAGCCTGGACTCTGCAGTCTTTATTTTCTCTAGATCTTCAGACCGGTAGGGGATGCTACTGTTACCTGTTACCAACAAGCTAGGTTCCTCATGGGCTTTACATCTTACAAGCTCCAGGGCTTCTTGCTCTTCTTGGACTGCTTTGCTTAGGAGGTCTTTTTGTTGGACCAGGTCTTTCTCTAGGTTTGCTAGCTTGACAAGCTGCCTTCTCTTGAACTCTAAGAAGCACAGTTGAGCCCTTTCCAGTTCCTCCCCACAGGTGTGGTTCTCTTGTGCGCCAGCCTCTTTTGCCTGCAAGAGTGCTTCCTGGATGCCTTCTAGTTCCCTCTTTTCCTCCTGTGCCCGCTGGGCCTCTCCAGGACACAGCAGTGGAATGGTCTCCTGCCTCTCCCGCAGCTGCTCCTCCAGGTATGCCACCAGCAGCACCTGCTCCTTCTCTTGCTCGTCCAGCTGCAGCTTGGCACACTGGGCATCTTGTTCTCTGTGCAGCTGGTCAAGCTCCTGGAATATTTGAACCTTCTCGGCCTGCTCATGGCTGCTGAGTTCTTGGAGCCTGCGAAGCTCCTCTCTGATGCGAGAGAAGCTCTCTTCCTCCTGCCTCCTCTGCTGCTCCAGTCCCTGCTGCTCCCGGAGTCTCTCTTCCTCAAACCTTTCCTTCTCAGCCAGCAGGTCCTTGAGCTTGTTTTCAATGTGGAAGCTGCGGCGCTTGAGGCTTTCCTCCTGTTTGCGGATCTGCCGCTGTACCATCTCTGTTTCCTTGCGCCTGGTCTCCACCTCCTGCTGCATTCGCTCTAGCTCTGCCTTGTCCGATCTCTGCTTTTCCTCCATCTCTTCGATGAGTTTCCTGCATTGCAAATGCCAACCGGTCATTCTTTGATCACTATGCTCAGCTTCAACCCAACTTTCCCCTAACTGGACTGTTCTGAAAACACACAGCAACATAAAGCCAAACCTTTCATTAAAACAAATGAAGAGGAAGTTCTTCCCTTTCACATTCTCAGAGGGAGGAATGATATTTCATTTTCATTTTATTTTACTTACTGTCCAGTATATTGTCTGCCTAGTCTCCTGAAGCAGCTTCTGGTATTCTTCGTTTGTGAATCCTAGATTCATGTGTTATGTATGGTAAAATTAAGAAATCCCACAAAGCTCAAAGGGAAAAAAACACCATGTCCAATTTAAATTTAAATGTTCCTAGTTTTATTCAGCCCAGTGACTAAACTAACATTCACTAACAAGATGACATTAAGTACATTTTTTTAAATGCTGTCTTCAATGCACTAGGGTTGAATAACAAAGTCAAAATAATGGACAGTAGATTGTTTCAGTTCAAAAGAGAACCCTAGACGGTCTTTAGCATTTAATCACTGGTCCAGAGCAAATTATACTCATCAAAATAGCCTACGATATTGGAAATAACTGGAGTCTGTTAGGATACTTGAATACGGGGGTCACATGCTGTGTTTTCTACAGAGGCACAATTGATTCTTACCTGGCACTAGAAGAGCTTGGGGAGCTGGAGTGACTTCCCAAGCACAAGCAGGAAATGACAGAGCTTAAAGTTGACCCTCATCCCCTGACACCCAAACTCCTGATCTGTATGATGCTGGACACTAAACACATTCACATTGGCAGTTTAACCCCCAGTTCAGATCTTCTCTGGCCTTAGCTCCTCTTTCAATACCTATCTACCCTTCCTGACTTGTTAAATGGGGCTTGGGAAAAGAGAAACTATGATTGAATTAAACAAAGAATATTTTAGAACACATCTCAACTACGCAGCAATATACATATATATATATATATATCACACTTACATATATATACATATATATATACATATATGTGTATACACACACACATACACACACACAAACACACACACAACACACACACACACACACACACACACACACACACACACACACATATCCCCAAATAAAAGCAAGCAAAGAGCAAGAAAAATAAATTGCAGGTGGGAAAACACCAATAGCTGTACAAAAAATAAAGATGGTTAAAAGGCCAATGGAGCTGGTTGTTGCGGTGTATGCCTGTTAACCCACCACTTGGTAGGCAGATGCAGCAGGGCAGCCAACGTCACATATTGAAACCCTATAGAAGAGCAAGCAAAGCAAAGCCAAAAAGAAAAATAAAAAGAAAAAATCAAAGGCTAAAAATAGAGCTAGGTGGGAGACCTTGGTCTAAGGCAGTGGTTCTCAAAATTCCTAATGCTGTGGCCCTCATGTTTCAGTGACCCCTCCCATAAAATTATTTCATTGCTACTTCATAACTGTAATTTTGCTACTGTTATGGATTGTAATGTGACCCTTGTAAGTGACCCTTGTGAAAGGATCATTTGACCCTCAAGGTGGTTGTGACCTAAAGATTGAGAAGTACTGTGCTCTCTCTTTCTCCCTTCCTACGTCCTCCTACGGATGAACAGACAGATGGTGGGAAGAGAGATAACTTAGTTCCACAGTAAAGAGTACTGGCTGCTCTTGCAGAAGACCAGGGCTCACAAGCCCCACATGGGGCTCACAAACATTTGTAATGCCACTTCCAGGTTGAGGGGATCCAAGTACCCTATTCTGACTTCTGTGGGCACTAAGCAAACATATGGTGCACACACATATACGTGCAGGCAAACATGTGTATACTTAAAAGTAAATTAAAAAATCTTATTTTTTTAATTAAGAAATTGGAGATGGGTTGTTTGAAAGGAAATGCTTTTGATTTTCATCTTTATACACTCATTACTTTTTTTGGTTTGTTTGTTTTTCGAGACAGGGTTTCTCTGTATTGTTTTGGAGGCTGTCCTGGAACTCTCAGTCTGTAGACCAGGCTGGCCTTGAACTCACAGAGATCCACCTGCCTCTCCCTCCCCGAGTGCTGGGATTAAAGGCATGCACCACCAATGCCAAAAACCCAAGAATAGTTAAGAAAAGATTTGGGGTTAAATTTCAACAGAGCTCAGATGTTTATTTTACTGACTATTATCCTTTTTTCACACGTATTTGAAGATGAACTGCTATAAAAATTTTAAAATGACATAAAGTCAATCCCTTATAAGAAACTACCAATAGGTATTAGAAAGTAAATAGCAGACTCAAAGCTAGAGGGAACCATGGAAACAGAAGAGGTGAACTCTGGAAGGATACTAAGAGAGCATTCCAGACAGCCACTTGACATGAGGGCCTCACAGCTTACCTTTTACTTTCTAGTTTTTCAAGTTCTTCACGCTGTTGTCTCTCAAATTCAAGTCTGATGAAATCAAATGAAAATAAGTTACTTCCATGAAGGAGCTTTTCTCTCTGTACATGTAATCACACACTAGAGCACAGATTTGTCTATTACTTTAATTACTATGGATTAGCAAGTTTAAAATGCATTATTTGCTCTATTACTATGATTAGAAATTAGATACAATTTGCATGTTTGAACTTAGACTGAACAGAACAGATTTGATTTGAAATGAAATATCACTGTAGTTTAAAAAAAACAGAATTAAACACAACTTCTAAATGCTAAGCATGTCTATTGCATGCAGCTTAGTCACTGATGAGTAAGTAAGAAGGAGAAACTACCTTAGACAGATGGGTCCTTTTATAGGGAAAAGACTGCCAGGGAGGTAGAGGGGAGAGAACACAGACATCCATTAAGAAAACAATTCAAAGGAGGGAATACAGGAGAAAAGCAGTAAGGTGTGTAAAAGACAACAGTCATGCACAGATCAAAAGATCTTTTTGCAAATATTACATTTCCCAGTAAGTGCATGAAGCAAGCACTCCAGAAAGTTAGCTTACTGTTTTTCACATTCTGTGACAGTCACAGGACCTTTGACTACGGAGCACAAGCAGTTACTGTGCATAGCAAAGCCCTCTCTTAGTGCTTTACCATAGTTATTCTACTTAGAAGCTCAGATGTGCTGAGTGACGGTGGGGTCTATAAAACTAAATAAAGTCACACAGTGACATAATAGTGAAAAGTGGGCCATGTAGAATTTTTAAATTCTGGCAACACAAGTCAATTTCCCTGACATTAGTAAATAAGTTTCACTTTTTCAACTGAACAACATGAATTGTAATGATTGAACATAAACATTTCCCTCTTGTAGATGGCAGATATTTCTGTAAAGCTGAACTATGGAACAATTCACCATAAACTATTTTCCTTGGGCCATGTGCAAATCCAAACTGGCAACACAGATGTTTTTACAATGATCTAAAATATGTTTCAAAGAGATCTCTTGTCACGTTAGTTTGGGTTAATGTGGAGAGGAAGGTGTCTGGTAGCCTTTTTAGGCAGAACTGTGCGTCCATGACACAAGAACAGTCATGCTGATCTCCACAGGCTGTGTCCTTTGTCCTTCCAGAATATTAGGGCTGCATACTATATCTCCAGAACTTGTTCCAGGTCACAATAGTAATAAGTGGTGGAGCCATCATTTGAACCCACGACAATCAGCTTCCAAGATGCCCGTTGTTGACTCATTTGGTAAGCCTTATTCAGATTTGTGATATAATATACAAGAACTTACCTCTTCACTGAAAGTTGTTCCTATTGATATTTATGCTATGTCAAGTGAACACAATTTGCAGCTTAGTAGAAGCAGGTATTCACACGAGGTCAGTTATGTAGACAGATAACTGGTAACCATGGAACCAAGTTCATTTGGCTGGGCATTACATGGGTATGATATGATCATTCCTAGTAAATATTTTTAGTGTCGTGTTCTTTCTCACTCTCCCTCTCAACTTCCCCTCTCTCATTCTGTGTGTGTGTATTCAGGAACATGCGTATCAATAGGTACAAGTAGAAGTCAGAAGATAATGTCGGGGGTCAGTCCTCACTCACACCTTGTTCGAGACAGTCTCTCTTGTCGTTCACTGATGTATATGTCAGGTTAGATGGGCCTTGAGCTTCTGGGAATTCTCTGCTTCTGTCTCTGCCTTCCACTTCACTATAAGGACACATTGGGATGACAGACACATGTGCTACTGTGGTGGCCTTTATGTGGGTTCTGGGGATCCAATTACAGATTACAAGTAGCAAGTATTTTACCCACGGAATCATCTTCACAGCCCCCGATAAACATTTTTGGACTTCAACATATAGCTAATTCCTTCTATAGACATTTACATATTCCAAAGTAAAACTTGTTAAAATGCTTCTGAGAGCAAAAATTTTCATTTAAAAAATCCCCTTTAATCTTAGTTTTCATCTTCTGTGATACAGCTCTCCATGCCTAGCAGTATCCATGGCTTTGATATCACATGTGTGCAGCAGGCTGCTCTGCGAGCTACAGCCAGGTACTGGGATGAAAACCCATCTTCTAAGATGTGTTTCCAACACCTAGGCTCTGTGCTCCACTCAGGCACTAGAATGTTTGTGTTGTTCCCCTAACTACAGGAAGTTGACACATTTATCATTCTCAGGCCACAAAACTGGAAACTGAAGCTTAGTGTATTGAGTAGCATCAGAATCCAACTTTGGTTCCAAAACTTATTATCAGCCACAATTTTTCTTCAGTGGTTGTGTGGTGACAAGGAGATCACAAAATACAAGTGATAATAGCTAATTTTGCATTCTACCAAAGCAGTAGCTTGTGAAGTACACCACGCAGACACAGCAGACCCTAAGCATTATAGCCCCACATTCTAGCCCTTCTCTGTTCTGCAACAGTGTGCCACACACAGGAGTAAATGTCTTGATTCTAGGTCTGTGTTTTTCCTTCTTTTGTTTAAAAGAAAAATTAAGAAAATCTCATTAAAACCAGATTTTAAGCTTCCCACAGGTGACATGGCAAGGCATGAGTTTCAGGAGGCTATCAGGAACCATATTTCAAAAAGCCTTTTAAGTTTACTAAAGACTTCAAACTTGATGAATATACCTGCCTGGTATTTGGAAGACTAGCTGGGAAGGAGGTGAATTAAGAAGTCAGGTATGGGTGCTGTTTTCAGCCTAGCTGCTTCTCTCTGAGGGCAGAAGCAAGATACTATGACAAGAGCAAGGAGACCAAGAGGCATAAGTTTCAGGGATATTACTTGTAAGAGGAAAAAGGGCCAATGGGCAAGGGAATTGTATATGGTGGTTCATGTGTGCCATCCTAGCAACAGAGAGGCTGAGTCAAAAGAAGTCAGACTGGGCTATAAAGTTAGACCCTGTGTCTAAACCAAACCCAAAACCAAATAAATATAGGAGAGAATTGATAAAGAGAATGAGGGGGAAAGGCTCACTGAGGATCACTCAAGTTATGGGATGGCTAATTTCAGAGGCCCATTCTTTAGGCTGACATAGTGTTTGTTTGTTTGTTTGTTTATTGGCAGCATTGAATAGAGATGCCAGAGTAAATGCAGGAAATGACTGCTAAGAGCACAGAAAAAAGCTCAATTGAAGATGTGGGAAGACAAAAATTCAAGTATTAGTCTAAGGACTGAATTAGATACTGAAGATGAAAAGAAATGAAGTAAAAATGGAATCTACAAGATAAAGTAGAAAAATCAAAGAGATCTCCATGCTGACAAAGCGGGTACCACCCAATTGGACAGCAGGGTAAGTTCACCCCGAATCACTGAAGACATCAGTAGGGCTCTGACAGTTGCTGAGGCTTCAGACGAGACATGGGGAGGGGCAGATGAGAGCAGCAAGGAGAGATGAAGAGTGAGAATGGGCAAGTGCTGTGAGCTGAATGGATGAGAGAGCGTCACTAAGCAGAGGACGTGAGATCTTCAAGCATTGGGTGGAGGACATAAGGGTCTTTGGGCTCATGAAATCAGTGGTTCTTCCACAGGAGACATCTTCAGTTTAGAATATTTGAGTAGGATCAAGAGGATACACTTGTTCTGCAGCAGCAACTATCAACCTCAGATGTTAGAGGCCACAGCTTTTGGCCCTTCAGAAGGGCAGCATCTATGGATTAGGAAGATTATGGATTAAGAGGACAAATGACTTGTCCATGACTTATTTCTAGATCTTAGCCATTTTCTAGATAATAATTAGATAACAATCCTTATTTCTAGAAAAGGCTAAAATTTAAAAATCAACCACACCTATTTGGTGCAATCTCTTAACTGAGGTAAAGTCACCAGCAAATATAAGAGCATTATGAGACAGGGATCCTACTTTAAACATGAGGGAACTAGAAGTGCTGCTGATAGCTTGTAACTTCTGTTAAATAGTACATATTTACTAATCATACTTTAAAATGCATTTCTTTCCAAAGTCCATAATTACTCCAGTTAGCCTACCACAATAGACTGTAAAACACAAGTGTAAGCCTGTCTGTATCTAGACAGTATACCATGTATAATTGTATGTAAATGTGGCTACATTTTTAAGCAAGTACAATTCACTATTTTACATTATGGGATTATCATGACCCCAAATGCTAATTTCCCTAAAGTTATAATTAAAAGGGAAACTATAAAAGGATGTAATTTTTGCAGCTGTTTTTACCATTTTAAAATGACATTTGGAGGTACACATACTGTGTTAGGTCCAACAAAAAAGCACAGCATACCATCTATTTTTATCAGGAATGAGCTTTTCTCTTCATTAAAAGACAGCTAACATTTTTAGGTATAACTGCACATCTTGCAATTTACATCCCTGTTATCATCAGCAACAGAAAATGAGAGGGTTGGAGTTTCTCAGTTCACACCATTACTTTGAAAGTGAGACTGTGATTATTTTTAAAAGAGAGAGAAGAAAATGAAGAAAATTTTAAATAAGCAAAACCCATAAATATTTGCATCCTTATGCTGTTGTAATACTGATTAGTTTGGTTCCTCTAAAGTCAGCTCTAAAAGCAGGAAGAGACAGCTACCCATGACCAGCCAGTACTTCAGCTGGTGACTAGAGTGGTACAGGCCAGGGGAGTAAGCAACTGAGCTCCAGACTATAGCAGATCTAGAAGGGGAGCAAGCGACTGAGCTCCAGACCATAGCAGATCTAGAAGAGAGTTCCCATTTGGCAAGAGATGACCTGAGACAAACATCCTGGTAAAGTCTCCTGCCTGGATATCTGACTCTATTGTTTGAAAAGGTATATGGTTAGGAAAAAAATTGTCATTGGGTAGACTTGGATTAGCAACTTTGGGTTGTATTTATGTAGCTCTACTAAACTGATGTACAACTCATGGAATTCTTATTATGTTAGAAAAAGATAACTCATATTTTCATTGTGGATTGGGCCTTATGAAGTGCTGTATCTCTGATCACAGTTACCTTCTGAACAAGCCCTGGCCAGTATCTGGATGCCCAGTGGCATTCTTCAGTGCAAATCCTGGTAAGAAAATCCTAGCATTTAGTGGAGGATGACTGTTCTTTTTCTGGTCCATTACAGAGCATTAAAATCTTTCCTCTGGGCATCAGTACTCATATAAACATTCACTGGAAAGCTAAGAAATGGTACACTGTAGAGATGATTGGCAGGGATTTCCAACCTCTTCATGTTAGATACTGGGCTATCTCACAGCAACCAATATACAATTACAATTCAAGGGTGTGAGGACAGAAAGGTATGAAGCAGGGGAAAGAAGTTACCCTCTAGTTAAGTCAGAGTTTACAATGTGAATACACTAAGCATCCTGGGAAAGATTTCCTAAATAAACTTTCAC